CTCTTTCCATTTATCCTCTGTAAAATGAAAAAGAATGACATGAACTTGAGATGACAACCAGGCAGAAGTCCAATGAGGAACCAGAGGGCCTGAACAACAAATAGACCAACTGGACCTGACAGACATGTGCGGAACACTGCGTCAGCTGTGGAGGAATACATAATACCTATGGGTTATTCTCTGGGACAGACAACAGTTAGGCTACAAAATAAGCTTTGATAGATGTTTACAATATCAAAATCCACTCCCGCCGCGCTCTGCCCACCCTCCCCGCAGCCGAAGCCCGCGCCCCGCGCACCCGCGAGCCCCCCGACTTCGGCCCCGCCGAGTCCCACGCCCGGAGTGGCCACCTGCTGGGGAGGACCAGGCTGAGCGAAGGCCCAGTTTGAAGCAGCTGCTGCCCGGGCTGGGTATCGCCCGGCCCCCAGTCTTCCTGTGTGTAGTTGCGAGAAATACTATCTACTGGGTGTCTGCAGTTTAGGACAGCTGTGATTCTTGGGGTTAAGGAATTATTCTTGACAGAAGCATTTGAAAAGAAAAATCTGTACCATGGCCTCAGCAGTACTTAGTTCTGTTCCCACTACAGCCTCTCGTTTTGCCCTTTTACAAGTAGATAGTGGCAGTGGTTCTGATTCTGAGCCTGGAAAAGGGAAAGGCTGGAATACTGGAAAGTCTCAAACTATGGGAAGCAAATCAACTACAAATGAGAAAAAAAGAGAAAAAAGAAGAAAAAAGAAAGAACAGCAACAGAGTGAAGCAAATGAGCTTAGGAATCTTGCTTTTAAGAAGATTCTCCAGAAATCCTCTCATGTCATTTGTAAGGCTCATCAGGACCTTCCACTGTCAAACCCCTTGCAGAAGGATTCACCAGAAGAGAACTGGCAAGAATGGAGACAAACAGATGAACAGCTGACATCTGAAATGTTTGAAGCTGATCTTGAGAAAGCATTACTGCTTACAGAATATAATGGAACAGATAACTGTACAGCTCATGAACACAAGGAAGTGGTTCTTAAAGATGGAAGAATTGAAAGACTAAAGTTGGAACTTGAAAGGAAAGATGCTGAAATCCAGAAGCTGAAAAATGTGCTCACTCAGTGGGAGGCAAAGTATAAAGAAGTAAAGGCAAGAAGTTCACAGTTACTGAAAATGCTTCAGGAAGGTGAAATGAAAGATAAAGCAGAAATACTTCTGCAAGTTGATGAATCACAAAGTATCAAGAATGAGCTAACTATACAGGTTACTTCACTTCATGCTCCATTAGAACAAGAAAGATCTAAAGTGAAAGTATTACAAGCAGAATGAGCCAAGTACCAGGGTGGCAGAAAAGGAAAAAGAAACTGAATCTGACCAGTGCAGGTGATTACATTAGCCTTTGAAGTCATCACAAAAATTAAATTTTCAGGGCTTTTCAAAAATGTAGATATTTAATGTTGTGCAGCTGCTAGACTATGAAGTTTTGTTGAAGGAACAACAAGCAACTAGCTAATAGTCTTTAAATTTATGTTTTTGGCTTAAAAGTGAAAAGAAAAAATTAGAATTCCAGTAGAACTTAATGATTATTGTTTACTATCTATACTTCTTGTCACTTTAGTTTATCATTCAATAAATTTACTTTACTATTAAAAAAAATATCAAAATCATGAGGTATCTTTCTAATCAAAATGGAAAGAGATTAGGAATCAATAGCAGAAGGAAAACTTGAAAGAACAGTGACAAACGACAAGGGAAATTAGAAAACATATGAGACAAAGAATAACATACCAAATTCAAAAACCCCAAATTAAATGCAGTAAAAAGTACTAAAAGGGAAATTTATAGTTACAAACAATTATAATAAAAGCTCTTAAATCAACAATTTAACTTTATACTTTAAGAAATTAGAAAAAGAAGGGCCGGGAATTTAGCTCACTGGTTCTGGCACCTGCTGCACAAGCGCAAGGTCCAGAGTTCCATCCCCGGTACCAAAACAAAACAAAGAAATTAGAAAAAGCAAACTGGAATCAAAAGCCAGCAGAAGGAAATAAAGATTAGAGCAGAGATAAACAAAATAGAGACTAGAAAAATAGCTAGTTCTTTGAAAATTAACAAAATTGACAAACATATTTAAATTGATGAAGATGCAAATAAATCAGAAATGAAAGAGGACAATTTTAAAGATATATGGGAGTACAATTAATAATTGTATGCCAACATATTAGATAATACAGATAAAACAAATTCCTAGAAGCACGACCTATCAAGACTGAATCACAAAGAAAAAGAAACAGAAAATCTAACAGAGCGATAAGAACATTGGATCAGTAATCAAAAGCCTCCCAACAAATAGAAACCCAGAACCATAAGACTTTACTAGAGAAATCTGCCAAACATTTAAGGAATAAACACTAATTTTCTCAAACTCTTTAAAAAAAAAAAAACCCAACAAACCAAACCAAACAACAACAAAACAAAAAAACCACAAAGAGGAGACCACACTTTCTAACCCATTCCATGAGAGAAGCTTACCCTGGCTCCAAAGCCAGGCAAAAACACTACAAGAAAACAACAACAACAACAACAACAACGGGCCAATACCCCCGATCACTACTGATGCAAAAAATTCTCAAGAAAATTGTAGCAAGCCAGGCATGGTGGTGCATGCCTGTAATCCCAGCAGTTGAGAGGCTGAGGCAGGAGGATCACCAAACGTGAGGCCAACCTGGTCTATATAGTGAGTTTAAGGCCATCCTGAAATATAGGTACTCAAGATCCTGTCTCCAAGAAAACCCCAAAATAAATAAAATTTAAAAATTATAGCAAACAAAAATTGAACATCTTAAAGAATTATACACTGTAAAGTGGAATTTATTTCTGGAAGGCAAGTGTGGCCGTTGATGACTGTGAGCTTGACTGTTGTGACTCCTAGCAGGTTAGTAGAGCACAGTAATGGTTTTCCACGGGTGGGTCATGGAGGCATGACCTTGGGGGCCATAGCCGGTTCCTACCTCTCTCCTCTCTAGCACTGTTCCCCTGCTCTGCAGCTCCTCAAAATTAAGCGCCTTTACTCCCTTGCCCCTTCCACCATAATGTTTGTCTTGTAGGCAGCCATTCATATACCGAAACCTCTGAAACTGTGAGCAAAGATAAACCTCTCCTCTAAGTTGTATATGTCAGGTACAGTGGACCCTTGACTTACAAACTTGATCAGTTCCCAAGGGCTGGTTAACTCAAGTTGGTTGTAACTCAATACAGCTGAGATCTGGCTGTTTACCTGGGTACACGCTACAGATAACAAGAGGCAGATGAACCTTCCATTAAACTAATTAACTCAAGTTGTTCGTATGTCAGGCCATTGTAACTTGACAGTCCACTGTACTTGATCCCAGTGATTAAAAAAAAAAAGCTAATACAGAAAATTGGTATCAGAATAGATCACTGATATGATATCTAAACATGTAGTTCAGAAGCCACTGGAACTGGTTTGTTGGAAGAGTCTGAAAAAATTTGGAGATCTGGGCTTGAGAAAGCCTTGAATGCTGTAAGCAGAGACCAATAGGTGATTCTGACCAGTGTGCTGACAGGGGCGCAGATACCAGAGGCCCACCTCAGGAGGCGTCGGACAGGGCCGAGGTCTGTACTGGGAAATGGCCTACAGGCCCTGCGCGCTGCACTCTGGCCAAACACTGTCTCCAGTTTGCCCACATGCTGAGGCTTTGTGGGAGGCTGAGTCTAAGTGCAGAGGACTAACAGAGTTTTGAGTTACGACCCGAATGCCAGCCACTTTCGCTTCCAGATGGTCTGAGATACAGATTGGAAGGGGCATAACATCATCCTGTCCTGTGTGGGGTTAACTGAGGAATCCCAGGCCGGTGTCTCTCTGAGGACACTGAGATCTGCCTGTGCACAGGAGAGAGACTTTGAAGGCTGTGTAGGGGAGCCTGAGCCTTCACGACCGACTTGAGTTACAGCCAGCCCTCGAGAATGAATCAAGTGCTCTTTTCTATCTCCCTAGTCATCCCTCGTGGAACACAGAACAGGATACAAAACTCGGCATGCAGAAAAGCAGTTGCATTTCTATACACTGAGAATGAATGAGAATTTATTAATTCTGTTTAGAATAGCATTAAGGGAATAAAATACTTGGGAATATATATAATTAAGGATATGAAATATACATAAAAACCATAAAACATGGGAAAGAAATTAAACAAATACAAATAAATGGACACACAAAGCAATCCACACATTCAATGAAATCTCTATCAAAGTCCCAAAGGCTTTAAGATATAAAAAAAGACCCTAACTAAAATTAATATGAAATTTCAAAGGATCCCAAATAATCAAGCTCTTATCTTAAAAAATAAGAACAAGACTGGAGAACTCACACTTCTTGATTTCAAAATTGACTCTGAAATCGGACCCCTTCCCCTGAGTGTGGCTGCACAGACCTGTGATCCCAGCACTGGGAGACTGAGGGAGGAGGGTCCTAGGTTAAAGCCCACTCTGGACAACTTAATGACTCAGTGAGACTGTCTCAAAAGAAAAGAAAAGAAAAAAGGGTGGGGGATTAGCTCAGTACAGAGGCCCTGGGTTCAATGCCCAGTACCCCAAACAAACCAACCAATCCGCCAACCAGAACGAAGTAAAACCAGGAAAGAAAATAAATTGGGTCTTTTCCTGATACTATCTACAAAACACACTCAAAATGGATCAAAGACATAATAAATGTAAGACTTAAAACTATAAAACTCCTAGAACACGGGAAGTTTCATGATACTGAATTTTGCAATGATCTTTTAATATAACACCAAAACCACATCAAGAGCAACAAGAGCCAAAATAGACAAATGTTACTACATCAAAATTTAAAACTGTGAACCAAAGAACAGGATCAGAGGAAGGTAAAAGCAAGGAGCATGATAAAAGATTTGCAAATCGTGGATCCGAGAAGGGGTTGAGATCCAGAACATAAAGAGCAGCTCAACAACAAGAAAACCAAGAGCCAGGAGCTCTGCTACCTGTGGACCCGCTTCCTCTCCCGGCCTCTTGAAGCTTGGCCGAGCGCATCTCTGTCCTGCTGCTCCAGCAAACTGCTCCTTCTGCTCTGGGGCAGACCCGCAGCCTCCGCGGAGTCTCCTACAACAGAAAGATCAAATAAAAAGGAAGCAGCGCACAGAAAAGAAATTAAAGATCATTCTAAAGATGAACTCCGGCTGGCAACAACAAAACTCACCTGTGACCCCTACCCGCTTAGCCTGGCCACACAATGGCGGCGGGGTCATGTTAAACACCAACACCAGGGCTGGTTCTCATTCCAGCCAAAGCCTCGAAGCAGCTGCCTGGTAGTTTTCTCATGATTCTCTAGTAAAAGGGAATTTAAGGCCTTTTCTCAGGGAACTTCCAGTAGGAAAGTCTTTTCACACCTGTCAACCATTTCACTAGAAGAATGTACTGAAAATGTAATATATGACAATTTATGACAATCAAAATACAAAAGCATTAGGGAATTATTTTCAGGAAGAAACACAGAAGTCAAAATACAAAATCTTCAACTTGGAAACTGCCCAAGGGTCCATCAATTGGAGACTTGATAAAGAAGAAGTGGTTTTTTTATAAAATGGGGTACTACTCAGCCATAAAGGAGAAACTAGAGAGATTTATAGCTAAATGGATGCACATTGAGGCCATCCTCTTAACTGAAATAAATAGGATACACATGTGTAAATACCCAATAGTTTCTCTGGTCTGAGAAACTAAAAATGTACATAAGGATCAAAATATATAATTGATAATGTGAAATAGGAAGAAAAGGTCTAAAGGAGCAGGGGAAGTGGGAGGGGTAGGGGAAAGGAAGGAAGGGAAAAGGAAAAATATGAGAAAAGGAAAAAATGGAAACAAAGTCTTTGTAAATAGGGAGGGATGGAGGGGGTGAAGGGAGGGCAGAGGAAGGGGGAAAAATAAGAACCAAGATACATCATGTACAGGTAACAAGATCCCAATGATGAATGTAACTATATTGTATACCTAAAATCTACCAGTAAACTTAATAAAAAAAAAAAAAACCTTCAGTGTAATACTGAATGACTTTTCTTTTTTTTTTTTGGTACCAGGGATCAAACTCGGGACCTTGCACTTGAGAGGCAGGCAGCGGAACCACTGAGCTAAATCCCTGGCCCTGAATGACTTTTTTCTTTTGAAAACTTGGGTACACTGAAATCCACTGAGTTAAGAGTCACCAGCTTCTGAAGCTCTGAACGTGTTCAGGCTAAGGTTGCTTTTCTTTTTCTTTACTACAGAGTGGCCCTGCTTCCCTTGCTCGTTCTTATTTCTAGAAACAAAACTATGGGAGGAACTACCGTAGTATCATGAACCTTAACTTCTTGTATCTCATCAAAAGACACAATAAGTAATAAGATTGTGTTTTCAGCATGTAGGACAAACACGTTAAGAAATCTCTCCAAGTACATTTTAATAAAACACTCACAGCTTTTTGTTATACTTCGGACATACCGATTTTATTTCACTGTGAGTAGGGCTGGGTGGAATACCTCTATCAGCTTTTCTGAGTTTAAAAAACTCAAATCACCTGCCTTTCAAATCTTAGGTCAAGCTTTTCTTTTTTTTCAGTACGGGGGGAATCGAACTCGGGTCCTTGTGCTTGCGCAGCAGACGGCAAAACCACTGAGCTAAATCCTCAGCCCTAAAAATTTTTTTTTTTTTTTT